GGATCTGACTCAACGCAGTGAGTTTGGTTTTTTGGTTATAAGTCATCACATATAAGTGAAATTTCGCTAAAGATAGTTCAAAAACAGTTGCAGCAGTACATCTTCAGGGAACTGTCAGAAATTCAAGTTAGATCCAGAAGAGAACGTAAATGAGGGATATCATTGCTGATGTCAGATGGATCTTGGATGAAAGCAGAGAATACCAGAAAGGTGCTTACCTGTGTTTTATTGACAATGCAAAGGTATTTGACTGTGTGTATCATAACAAATTATGGTTAACATTTCAAAGAATGCAAATTCTAGAACACTTATTTGTGCTCATGCATAAGCTGCACATAGAGTAAGAGGCAGTCATTCAAACAGAATAATGGAATATGAAAAAAAAAACAAAAACTGACAGCCATCGAGTCAATCAAGAAAGGTGTGTGTCAGGTTTGTATCTTTTCACAATTTTTATTCAATCTATATGCTGAGCAAATAATCTGATAATATGAAGGATGGGCATCAGGACTGAAGGAAGCCTTATTAACAACCTGCAATATGCAGATGACATAATTTTGTTTGCTGAAAGGGAAGAGGCATTAAAGTACTTACTGATCAAGGTCAAAGACTATGGCCTTCAGTATGAATTACACTTCAACATAAAGAAAAAAAAAATCCTCACACCTGGACTGTAAACCACATCATGATAAATGGAGAAAAGATTAAAGTTGTGAAGGATTTCATTTTACTTGGATCCACAATCAACATCATGGCAACAGTCAAAAAATGAAAGCACATACTGCATTGGGTAAATCTCTCTTAAAACTGTTAAAAAGTAAGACTATCCTTTTCAGGGCTTGATCCAAGGCATGGTATTTTCAGTAACCCTCATATGCATGTGAAAGCTGGACAATGAATAAGGAAGATCAAAGAATAATCAATGCACTTGAATTATACATCAATATTGAATATACCATAGACTGCCAGAAGAAAAAACAAATTTATCTCAGAAGTACAACCAGAATGCTTCTTAGAAGTGAGGATGGCATTAGGGATCAGCCTCTGGAGAGGACATCATGCTTGTGAAGCAGAGGGTTAGCAAAAAAGAGGAAGACCCTCAACGAGATGGATTGACACAGTGGC